AAAAAGTTATAAAAAAAAGAATAAAAATAATTGCAAAAATTAAAAAATGAGGTAAACAAAAAACATTTGAATTTATTTACTTAAAATGCTTGCTATTAATCAGAGTTGCCAACTACAATGTGCTACAATCAGCTAACACTAATTCGGCTAAGTGCTCAAATAATCAATGCAACAACATTCATGAGTTGAGATGATGGAGGCGAATAATGCATAGACACCAATGGGTGATGAAATGACTCGAATGCGGGTACGAACGAAAGGCGTACGAAATGAGCGGGAATTAGAGAACTCGTATGCTGGTTATGTAGACACTAGCTTGCAACTGCGATAACCTGCGCTTCTTGAGGTTAGTTTCAATACGGATATTTGTAGTAAATTTTTTTTTTTTTTTTTTGTAATTTTTACACTGACAGTACATACAAACGCTATGTAGACAAGTGAGCGCTAAAAGGTTAGTGTGATTGTGTTAAATTTTTTTTTAAATATATTTTTACGAGTGTGTTTGTGTGTACGAGCACGATGACGCGCACAACTCGGGAGGATAACTAGTATATAGTAACTGGAGTTATACACATACATACATATGTATTTATTATGTTCAATGGTGTGTATTTATATAAGTTTAAAGTTGTTTGTAAGCAAAATAACGGTGCATTAGTATAGAAAGAAGAAAGAGATGTCACATCAGACGAGTGTGTTTTCTACAGTTTCGACGCGTTTGATTTGAGTTGAGTTTGTTTTGTTGTTGTTATTTTTCATGTAATTGATTATCTACTTGTAAACAGTTATTATGGCATGTAGTGTTCAATTTATTTTTGTTGCTTTTAATAATTTTCGTTTTCTTACGCAAAAGTTGAATATTTCGAAAAAAAAATTTATAAAAATTAATAATTGTAAACCAACGTTACAACAAATTCAAATCAATTCAAATTAGTTAATACTGTTATTTTTGATTTGTGAACGAACGAACGAAGGAACGAGCGAACGAATGAACGTACGAACGATTGACGATTGTTGTTTTCGTAACTAATTGTTTGTTGCTTTTTTGCTAGCTGCACGCTAATAATTGCTTTTGTTGTTTACCTGACAGAATAGAGCCTGATGTTTTGGGTGAATTTATGCGTTTGATTAGTTGGTCGATTGGTTGGTCGGTTGTTTTGGTTGATTGGAAACAGAAACAACGTTGCATTAGAAGGAGGTTTCAGGTTTCGAATGAGTTAAACGTACAAAAACAACCAAAAGTGCGTTAGATAAGCGAGTTGTAGTTACATAGTTGTTGTAGCAGTTGTTTTTTGATTATTTAAATTTTTTTTTTGTTTTAAAAGTTGGAGCGGAGGAGCAGAAGTAGTAAGTACAATTGCAGAACGCGTTTAAAGAGAGCGATGTTAAGCGGTAACAAAGAGATAGAAAGTAATAATGATAAAAATAAGTGTTAAAAACTTTCAAATTATTTATTTGAGCATTGAAAATTACTTAAATTTTAAAATTAATGCAAGGAAAAGCGAGTTAATGGAAAAAAAGTTAAATGACATATAATTTTAGTTTAAGTTAGCTAGGCTTTAAATACATAAATTTTTAAACTAATCTAAATATTCTATGTACTTATGAAGTTTCTAATTATAAAATTTTTTTTAAAACTTTTTATAATTCAATATTCTAAATTTAAAAAATTGTTTACCCTTTTTATAATTAGGCTTATGATTATTTCTTATAAATAAAATATAGCGCGAAACTAAAGCTAGTGATGTTTGGAATATGTGTTCAGAAAAAAGATTAAAGGTATGCACGTAACAATTAGATGGGAAAGTTTTTAAAAGGACTTCATAACAAAAAAAAAAAATAATAATAATAATAATAAAAAAAAATCAAGAAATGTTAGTTTCGACATCAGCTAAGCAACTTATAGCAAATACTTATAACTACGGATATTATACCGATAATCTCTGCCAAATTTCGCGAGGATATACTGTCAATTGAAAAAGTTTTCCTTGCAAGGACTTTATTTCCATTATTACATTTGTATGGCAGCTATATTCTATAGTAGTTAGAAAATTCATACAAGGATTATAGCTTTCACTAAAACAATAATCTGTGCCAATTTCGCGAAAAAATCTTGTAAAATAAAAAAGTTTTCCTTGCAAGGATTTTGATTGTTCAGTTTGTACGACAGCTATATGCTATAATGGTCCGATCTGACCAATCTCTACGGATATTATACCTTTCACTAAAATAATGATTTGTGCCAAATTTCTTGAAATCTTGTCAAATGAAAAAGTTTTCCTTGCAAGGATATGATTTTCATTATTCGTCTATATGCTATAGTAACTCAAATTGAACAATTTATAAGGAGACTATACCCTTCCATAAAAGAATAATCTGTGCCAATTTCGTGAAAAAATCTTATAAAATAAAAATGTTTTCCTTGCAAGGACATGATTTTGGTTGTTCAGTTTGTATGGCAGCTATATGCTATAGGGGTCCGATCTCAACAATCTCTACGGATATTATAACTTTCACTAAAACAATGATTTGTGCCAAATTTCGTGAAGAAATATTGTCAAATGAAAAAGTTTTCTTTGTAAAGACATGATTTTCATTATTCGGCTTGTATGGCAGCTATATGCTATAGCCTTAAAAGAATAATCTGTGTCAAATTTCGTGAAGAAATCTTGTAAAATAAAAAAGTTTTCCTTGCAAGGACATGATTATTTCTTATTACGCCGCCTAAATGTAGGCAACAAATTCTTATAAGTTTGTATTATTATCAGTAAGATAAGGCAAATAGATAAGAATTGCCCCGCGATCATCAGAGCTAGGAATTATTTTTTTTTTGCGTGGCTAATACATTTTTTTGAACTATAATTAAAGCTTTATGGCTACATTCTAATTTAAGTAGCTCCTAAATGTGAGCAACGACTTATTTTGGCAGTGTTCAAACATTTATTTAGAGCAATAATGTAGATTATATGGCTTTTTAAAACGAGAATAATATAAATAAATTTATTTTTAAAATAAAAAAATCTCTGGTCTCACATATTTTTTGCGAAAACTAAAAGTAAAATATTATTTTAGAAAAATTAATAACCTGCAAATAACTCGGTTACATATATTTAGTAATGTTATGAGTCTATAAACCTTAGAAGAGTTAAGAGCTGGCTTATGTATTACTTTTTAAGCAAAACCGCCTAGAGGTATGAAATACTTTATATGTTATGAGTCTATAAACCTTAGAAGAGAACTGGCTTATGTATTACTTTTTAGCAAAGGCGCCTAGATGTAGGCAGTACATTATAAAATAGTAAACTACGATTTCGTGTAATTTAAAAATTATCTGAAAAATTGTACTTTTATATAAAATAGTTAAAACATTAACTTTAAAAAAATATATATATTGAATAACTGGCATTTTTCTAACTAAAAATATTCACTACAATATCTTATAAATATTTTGAAAGTAGCTCGTTTCTTGAATACCCTTAAGCATTTGACATACATTTTTTTTTATGAATTACATGTTTTTTATAAATTAAAAAAAAATTTTTTTTATAAACTGCATTCTTATAAATGTTTTTGGAAAAATATATTTTTTTGCTAATTTTTCGATGAATGAAGTAAATGTTTTGAGATGTACGATTTTGATGGGCTTGATACGTTTAAATAATTATTTTTAATTATAATTATTTATTTTAGTTTTTTTTTTTTTGTAGAACAAGAAAGCAACTCATCAAATGCTTTAGCAAAATTTGGAAAAGCTGCATAAAAAACGGGGAAGCGTGTACATAAAAAGTAATGAATTGCAAAAGCACGTTAGCTATATATGTATGCAGATATTATAACGGTTATTACGTAAAAAGTATGCAAAGTGAAAACGTAGAACTCAATTGCAGAGTGTTCTTACAGCAATCTTAAAAAGTGATTTTGTCTCAATACACATTTTTTGTACTTTCAAAACTGCTGTGGCAGGAAAAATGATGGGAGATAAGGTAATTGGTTGATAGAGCTGTGTGTAGATTGTTTGGTAAACCGTTAGCAACTACAAATTGCATTTAAAATGTAGGATATATATAGAAATAGCGCAAGTAATGGATACTACAGAAGTTGGGTTGGGTTGGGTTGTTAATGAGCGCATATTGCTAGTGTTGATAATCGAAAAGTGGGGTTAGATATTATTTTGGCAGAGATTTCGACTGAATCTTAGGTTTATTAGAAGATAAAACTATGTTGTTGGAAGCAGGCAACACAGGAAAGGGCAATATTTTTAAAAATTCAAACTACTGCAGCGACTCAAACTACCATAAAAGTGTTGCCAAGTTAAATAACTCTACAATAAGGAGAGTACGAGTTGGTACGACAAGCCAAAATCACCTGTAGTAATTTAATTAAGAGTTACTTTTTGAATTTGTGACATATAACCGACTAACTTTTGAATAAGGATTTCATTTCTTCTTAACTTTAAGCATAAACTACAAAACAAACGAATATTGTAGAGTTACATTTACAAAAAAAAAAAAAAAAAAAAATTAATGGTAGTACTTAAAAAGGGAGGTTTTGTGCTACTTTTCAAAGTTTTTTAATGTTTTCGAAGTGGCAATAATTACTTCTCTACCATTGCCGCAGACATTAATTAAATTTTATACAAAAAGTGGACTTTGAAAGTTAAGCTCTTTAGTATTGAACGGCCGTTACATATAAAAAATTTAAATGACGCTATAATCTGGTTGAAACCGACTAGAACACGCTAAGTTTTAATGATTAATAATATGATAAAAAGCAGTTTTACATTAAAAAAAAATACTATGGTTACTAGGTTGGGACCTAATATTTAAAAGGAGAAAATCTAAATTAAGAAATTTGACAGTAATTTTTTTTTGTCGAAAAATGCAGTTTAAATTTTGCGCACAAGCAAAATTTGTAGCTATAATTCTTACATATTAAAAGTGAAACCAGAAACTAATACGTTAAACTAAAAATTACGCAAGTGAAAATAAATTGACTAATTAACAAAACAAAAAAAAAAAAAAAAAAAAAAAAAAAAAAAAAAAAAAAAAAAAAAAAAAAAAAAAAAAAAAAAAAAAAAAAAAAAAAAAAAAAAAAAAGAATTACAAAAAAAAAAATAATAATAAAAACAAAATTCTAAAATTACAAAAAATATTAAAAGTTGATCAGCGCTTGCGTAAAGAAAGAAAATATATATAACTCGACTACAGTTAAAATATTATAAATTGAAAATAGCGCTGTGCTTGAGCGCACATAAAGCCGTTCTTACCAATGCCAAATGGTTTGCAAGGCGGTTCGTCATTACTGCCCTTGCCGCCAAAGCTGTGGCGATTGCGTGTGCCAAAGTCGCGTATAGCTGGATGTGCTGAGTCAAAAAAAAAAAATATATATATATAAAAAATATGTATATATTTATTCCAAGGCATTTATTTAGTTTTTAATTACCTGGAAACTTGGAGTTCAATGTTTGATTGTTGAGATCGGCGAAGGACTCGGAGCGTCCCACATTCAGCAGCGACTCCATGGAGGCATCAAAACGCATGAGCTGCACAAGAGATTTTCAAATGGAAACAATATTTAATTACATATTATTTATTATGTAATTTCCTTTAATAAAGTACTCTATTTATATGTGACTACATAATATAAGTTGACTATTTGCTTGGTAAGGTAAAATTACTTATATATTGATACTGATAATAAAAAATATACAATTAAAAAAAAGAAACGGGTATCTAAAAAGTTTGTGTACTAAAGTAATTAGTAATTGAATATAGTTAAAAAGAATGAAACAAACACATACATACATATAAAACACACACATATAAAAGTGGCACATAAAAAGTGGATTCGAAAGTGAAGCTTTTGGAACCAGTAAAATTTTCAAGCTGTTGAATATCAGTTAGTAGTTGTTTTTTCCACACTTTTTTCTTTCTTTTGAATTGTTTTTTAATGTGTCATTTGCATTTGTGCGGCTGTAGTGAACACTTACGAGTTAGATTTGCAACTTACGCCGAGTGTAATTCTATAAACTAAGCAATTGCGTAGATAAATTAAATATACTTACGGTTTTTAATAATTTTTTTTTCAAATAATTATATTTTCTTCTTTATTAGCACAGACATCGCTTATACCTCATAGTTGGTATATATCAACTTAATAAATAAAAAAAAATGGTATGAAAAAATCTACATATTCAAAGTTTTTTACTGCCAAAAATTATAGAAAACAAAAAATTGTTAACTGCGGTAGCACCAAAGCTACAGAACCCTGCAGGAATACAAAAGATTGCTTATAAGAATTTGATTCCAATCGTTCAGCTTGTATGGCAGCTATATGCTATAGTTGTCCGATCCGAATATGTATGGTAGCTATATGCTATGGTGATCCGACATTACATTATTGCTTCAGGCAATACTTCGCGTCGAATTTTTTGAAGAGATCTTATAAAATGAAAAAGTTTTGCATGCAATTACTTTGTTCAGATTAATCAGTTTCTATGGGAGCTATATGCTATAGCTTGGAGAGAAAAGAACATCAGAACAATTTCATTTTCGATAGCTCAAAAACTGGAAAAAAAAGACTAGTTCTYATGTATTCAGACAGACAGACATGGGTAAATCGGCTCAGCTCGTAATGCTGCTCTTTTATATATTAACTTTATGGGGCACTTCATGGCAAACTGAATAAACTCTGTTGTGGGTCTACAAGTTGATTGTCGATTAGAAAAATCGCCAATTGTTGTTGTTGGAGCAGCAAACGACATTCTATAGAATAATTTTGAGGAATGATACCGAGTTAACAGTGAACAGTCAGTTAAAACTCAATGTTTGTTGGAGATTACTTTAACCCGAGTGTTGGAAAAACGGTAGTCTAAATGTGCATGTACGTAGTCAGATGATAATTTTTATATATTTTCCGCAAAACTTATGTATAATTAATTTTTAATAATTTTTCTTTAAAAACATTTGATAAGATCAAAAAAAAGGATATAGAAAGGATTATAAAAAAAAATTTTAAAACAAATTATAACGAAATTTTATGAAAATAACCGCAAAAATTATTTATAAAAAACAAAAACACTGTAACGAAAAAATAATAGTAAATGCATAAAAAT